CCTCTAGTGTCAGTTTCCTCATTTATTAAAATTGAGATTATAATAAAAAAACTCTTTCCCTAAAAGCTTCTGGGAAGATTGGAAGAGATTGTGTATAGAGCAATTTGCACAGTTCCTGGCACTATCCTAAGGGTTCAATAAATTAAAGGTGAAATTCTTTCAAAATGTAAATCATATTATATCATTTGTCTGTTCAAAATGTGGCCATGACTCGCCTTTTCACTCAGAGTAAATCCCAAAGGTCTTACAATGCCTAAAACCCGTGTCCCTAAAAGACCCCTCCCACCCCTTCTTGATTGCTCTCCCCTCACTCATTCTGTTGCAGCCACAGTGGCTTCCTTGCTACCAATGAATGCCTCAGGGCCTTTGCACTGGCTACGTTCGACCATCTGCCTAGAACACTCCCCCCGAGTATCTGCATGGATCCTCCCCACCGACTTCTCTTAAGTCTTCACTCAAATGTCACCTTCCCTGAACACCATCTCTAGGAGCCTAGCTTGCACGGCTCCCTGGCGTGCTCTAGCACCCTGACCTGCCCTCTCCGTTCTCAACAGCACCTACCGTCTTTCCCACATACTAATCGACTTGTTAATTTATTATGTTTAGCATCTGTCTCCCCCTCCCAGTAAAGTGGAAACCCCATGAGGACGGAGATTTTTGTCTGTTTTATCTACTAATATAACCCAGGGCCTAGAACTCGTGGTACCCAACACACTGGTGATGCTGAATACCTATTCACTTGTGGGAGAAATGTTATTTGTTATAGTTATGAATAAAGTCACATAACCTCAAAAGGCCTTGTTCTGTCTTTGCAAGTGTCCCTCCAACCTTTCTACACTTTCTAACTTATTTTGATCTTTTTTTTCCTTTAAACTGGAGCAATGTGGTTTGTTTATTATTCCAAGGACTTGGTAAATAGTTTTTAATAACATAGTGTTTGTACACCATACCTTCCAGGTCATCAGAAGTTCGAGGCTCTGTTCAGTGGTGTCCTGGGAGCCTGGACTGAAGTTTAGGGACAATTTTCTATGGCAGGGTCTTCCAGAGTGTCAAGGTCACAGGCAAGAGTTAGACAGGCAAGAACTGGGTTGTCATGTCCAAGAGAACCAGAAGATAAGGCCTACAAAGAGGCAGAGCTAAAAGATCGGAAGCCATGGAGAGCTGGAGGTCAGGGATTTGGAGGGCGGGGAGCAGCAGCTGGAGGCAAGTGAAGCCAGGAGGGTCCCGGGATTCCGGGACCGCAGGAAGGAGCGTGGCCTGAGAGTGAAGTCCATGGTCAAGCTGAACAGATTAGCTAGGTTCCAAAGAAATATCTGAGTGCAGCGTTCATTTGCCTTGGAACCCATCCAAAGAGGGCGAAGTGCCTGCCAAATGGACCCAATAATGAGGCTGATTTTTTAATCAGTAATGTAGCTGGGGGTGGAGGGGAGGGCAGGAGCGCGAGACACTTGGTGGGGTTCACTGTCATCTGGAAACAACAGTGCATCTCTCGCGGATTGAAAGGACCGGATGGAGCGCGGCCAGGGTGGCTGCAGCCCAGAGCTTTGAAGTCGAGCGTCCTTAGGATTTCTCCTTCTTTCTTTTCTTTTCTTTCCTTCCTTCCTTCCCTACCTCCTTCCCTCCTTCTTTCTTCCTTTTTTTCACTTTTTCATTTTTTGTTCGTATGTGTGTGTTGGTGGGGTTTTGTGGGTTTTTTCTTGGTGCGTTTTCTTTTTGATTTCCCTTATTTTTGCAGTCATTTCTCTCTGAAAATCTCAGCTTGTCTGGCTTGAGCCAAAGCACACAAGGGAAAGGGATGTGGCTTTGGCAGTGTTGGACCAGAGAGACAGCGGTCTTCTGGGCTGGGAGTGGTGATGCCAGGGCCTCCCTCAGGGAGTCAGCCTCCAAGGGTGAGAAATACTAGGCTCGCTCACTCAGCAATTTTCTGCCACCAGGAGAGCCTTCTCCAGGGCCTCCTTGTGCCCAAACCTCAGAGGGCTTCTGTGTCCTTCCAAAAGAGCAGCCAATTCCCTGGACCAAATCCTGTTTTAAAATGTAGGGTTTTTTAATTATTCAAGCATCGTGGGACCAACATATCAAGAAACAACTGTCATTGAAGAAAAACTTTGTTAAGAGATCCCAAGAGGAGGGGGAGCACCATGTCAAGGGGGCCACACAGGGAAGCACCAGGATGCCCAGGCAGGAGGAAGGAGGGACTCTGGGGCTGCAACCTTTATTGCGGCTTCCACAGGAAGAATGGGAGAGGCAGGGAAGCCAGCTTAAGATCCGCTGTTGGAACCATATCAGCAAGACCTGGGGCACAGGATTGTCCCTGGTTGCCCGGGACCTGGCCATGGGATAGTAAGACAAGTGTATAGTGGCCCAGAGTGTAAGAGTCAGATCTAGGAGGTGGCTGGGCTGCGGGCTCTGGACTGGGTAGTTTACAAGGCACATTGTAAGACAGGTGAGTTTCCTGCTATCCCTAGGAATTAGCTTGCCCCGGGATAGGCAGTCTCTCTGGGTCATCAAGGCCCCAAACATCAAAGCATCAAAAGTACAGAATAAAAAGACATGACAAATACAGTCCTGGGGGCAACTGAGTTCAGGGAGAAGAAGTGCTGAACTCGGAGTCAGGAGCCTCTCAGGTAGAATGTCGCCCCTCGTTTTCCCTCCTGAATAACGAAGCCAGGGTGGATCAGCAGGACCTCCACATCACCAATGTGCTATTCTCTACATCTAAACCAAATCAGTGACCATGCAAATGGGCCTGAGAAAGAAGGGGATGAGGAAGGGGAGACCAGGCAGAAAGCCAGAGGAGCCCGCCCTTGCGTCACCCTGCATGGGCCGGAGGATGCAGGAGAGGGACAGAAAAGTCAGAAGTTCAGTAACTGAGGAAACACAATAAGAAATAAAACAGAAGGTTGGAGAGTTGAGGTGGCTTAGGAGCCAAGTCTCCCACATTAGTCCCTTCCAATCCACCTCCTTCACACAGCCAAGCCCAGGCAGACGGCCGGGGTGAGGTAGAACAGAAGAGACAGTGATGAGGGTCTTTGCACAGGAAAAACCCACAATGCTTAGAAACTAACCGGGCAAATTCTCTTTAAGTGATTGTGATTTGATATATAGTCCTTCCAGAAGTACTTTTGTCTAGAAAGAAGACACCTAGATCAAGAGACAGAGGCAGAGAGAGAGGGAGAGAGAGAGAGGTCACAACAAAGAGTTAATGGCTAACCCAGCAATCCTTTCCAGTCCCAAGCACTACTCCTTCAATAAATGAGTTGATGCGTACATAATACTAAGAAACTGCTTCATACTTTATCTCTTGCAGGGTCACAGTTAACATCAACATCTTAACAGCTCAGAGGAGACCTGGGGTAAGGGAACCTGTTTCACCATGTTTAACTCAATATTTCCTAAATAACTTCATCAGGAAAAACTTTCCCCTCTCCAAGTAAAAACTCTTCACATCCCAAGCTCTATACCTTGGGCTAAAGCAATGTATCTTTAATGATGAGATGTTAGGTATATTCAAATAAACAAGGAAGATCCATCTCCATCCTGGTACCTGCCCAGGTACGTACACACACTAACTGACCCAGGCAGAGCACGGGTCAGGGATGAGAGCATCAGACCTGAGGCAGAACAGCAGGTAACACGAGAGAGTTCCCAACTGTTCAGTCCGAAGTTAAAACTTGAAGTTCAAGGACAGCAGCTGGATATGGAGGACAGGAATGGTACCTAAGTCCAAGACCAGGAGATAAATGTTGACAGTTTGCTCACAGTCCAAGGTGGCTTTTATTGTGCCAGTCCCATGGGTGGCATCCCTGGCCCTGGAGTGACTTAAAAACACCACCTTGTCTTGGAGACAGGTGCCTCCGAGGCAAGCCATAAAGCCAGCCCATGTGTAATGGCATGTTTGATTAGATGCCCAGTATCACCAAGAGTAGTAATAAGGTCCTGAGTGATGACTGCCGTAACACTACTTTTCATAAGTAAAGGACAGTTGTATTGATTCCAACCACACAGAAAATTAAGCTCCCAGATACCAGAGGAGCTGTCTTTGTCACATGGGCCAGAGCCATGCTGTTTATTAGAATAGGAGACAGTCTTCCAGGATGAAATGACCCTGTGTAGACCCATTTTCCCCATCAGCTTTGAATTCTCTAACTGGCCAGATCAAATTGCATCTGATGTGGAATTTGGGCATCACAGAGCTGTCAGAATGAGGAAACGAGTCATCATGTGTGTGCACAGTCATCACAATCACAGGAAGAGCAGTGAAAGAGTTCCATGAATTTTCCGATAATTGGGACTAACACTTATTGACTGCTTACCCCAGTAACAAGTGCTGGGCTAAGCACTTTACCCACATTATCTCATTTAAGCCTCACGGCAGCCCCAGCAGCTCAGCAAGGCTGTCGCTCGCCCCAGGTCAGGGGAGATTTCAGGGCTGGCACCTGCCTTTAGCTCTGGCAGTTGATCTCCAACGCACACGTTCAAACACTGTGTTCTTTCTGTCCCCCCATCTCATGGCGTCCACCGTGTCCCCCTTCCTCCTCACACAGCATCCTCCCCCCACAACACTAGCTCATCTCTTTTTGCTGACAGTGAAGCCCCTAAACCAGCACTGCCCAATGGGTCTAATCCCCAGTGGGCTATAAATAGGCTGAGATTTGATCCCTCCCCCGATTATTCTGACGGATGGGAGGTCGGGATCTGGGGTAGCCAGACACCTCGGGCTGGTAGTCCTTGGTGCTGACTATTAAGTGTCGGTCTCCAGATGCCAAAACCAGCCTCCAAACTCTGCTCTGTGATGCTGGTGCCGGGGGCTGCAGATGTGTTACTCCTTTCCCACATGACTCGCCAGAAGGTTCTAACCACAAGGAGTATGAGAAGGAGACTGGAAGGCGGGAGGAAGAAGAGAACTTGCTCTGATGACCTAGCATTGGCTCCTCACCTCCACCGTGGCGGTGGGATCTGCCCTCCCAGAACGCATCTTCCTGCCTCTCAGAAGGACCAGCAGCAGCAGGGCAGCGCTCTGCTGATTCCCAGCGCCCTGGGCTCCCTCCTCCAAGCTCCTTGGCTGCCAGCAGCCCGGTCAGCATCCCCTCCCCTGAGGACCGGACCCAGCATGCCCGGATCCGCTTCTGAGCTCCAGGTCTTCTCTATCCTGCTCCAAAGTTAAGCTATTATGACACAGGAAGGTTTACATTCAGACGTCTTTAAATATTCAAAGCAAAGAGTCTTGGTTTGCAGCTCTGTGTTCAGCTTATCTTTTTCTATCAATCAATTACCTAGTATTGATCAAGCACCAGGAGGTGCCGGCCCCAGGAAGATAGGCACTTGCAGACGCCAGCGGAAGGTGGCCTCTGGATGTGCGCTGACTTCCCTTTACAGCCCCACTGGGCTTTCCCTGACGCTCACTAGGCACTTCTCATAATTTCCCATTGTTATTGGGCTATTTTTATTCTTCCCGTATAAATCAAAATGTGACGCACTGTCCCACCGTTAAAACTCTTATCCTGGCAAAGCTATTATTATTTATTTGATGTCTTCAAAAAGAATTTAATGGCTTCCCCCTCCCCCCAAATAAAATTTAGATGATCTCATCACCTGTACCTTATGCTGAATGGACAGGAATAATGACATCAGCGCGTAGAGAATTTACAAACCAGCCATTTGGAGGGCCAGGTCAGCATGCTCTCAGGACCAGGACTCCGCTTAGAAGGGAGGCGCTGACATGCTCTGAACACCAGGTGTGACCCAGAATCGGCCAGTTCTGTTCCAGAAACCTTGGAGATTAGCATTCCAGATGGCTGGATTAGAACTGAGTCGTTTAGGGAAAAATGCATCCTAAGTCATAATTATAACAGTAATAATAACAATGAAGTGTTTAGTAATTCTTTTAGCTCCACTCAAATTTCTTCAGTCACAGTTGCTCACTGTTAGGGGCTGAATTGTGTCCCCCTAAGATTCATGTAAACTTTAGATGTTTCTATCAAAGAGAAGTTTGGGCATTTCCAACCCCAAGATATTTTATGACTACTTAAAGATAATAGATGAATTCGCAACATGGCTAGGATTTGAAGCCCCAACAGGACCTCAGAAGGTAACTGTATTTGGAATGGGTCTTTAAAGACAGTTACTGAGTAAAAATGGGGTCATTGGCCTGTGCCCGGTTCCAATGTGACTGATGTCTTTATAAGAAGAGGTGACCAGGACAGAGAGACGTCACAGGAACTCTCCCTGAGAGAGGCCATCCGCGAGCCAAGGAGAGAGGTCTTAAGAAAAAGCAGCCACGCCTGTGCCTTGATCTCTGTGTTCTCGCCTGCACAGAACTATGAGAAAGTAAAGCTCTGTTCTTCAAGCCACTCAGTCGGTGGTCCTTTGTCACGGCAACCCTAGCAGACTGATACACTCGTGAACTTTAAAGAAACACAACTCCCTGAGACAAAAGAGGGTTTACTCAGCTACAGATATCTTCTCTGTTTTTCAGTTGGTAAAGGTGAGGCAGGAAAAGACTGGTGGACTTTGCCTGGGTCTCTGGATTCACCCGTGGACAGACAGAATTTAGCCCAAGCCTTTCTCATGTGCTGGCCACAGCTCTGTTCTTCAGCCCGAGTGATTAAAAAAAAACAGTATTAAGCAGATATTTTCAAAAAGCAATCAACTCCAGATTGTCCATTATTAATGTGGAATATAGCCTACGCTGAAAATTAAAATACACATATATTTCAAAACCCAATATCAGCCATTAATGTCAGCTCGCTCAAACTCTTCAGACTTCATCAACCCCCGCTGTTTTCCTTTGAGGAAAATCCTAGCTGTGTTATGAATTCATCTATTATCTTTAACTATTCATAAAATATCTTGGGGTTGGAAAATTCCAAACTTCTCTTTGATAGAAACATTCTAAAGTGTATATGCATTCTTGTGGGAGAAATGGAACTTCTAGCTCCTTGGCTTATTTTTAAATTGCAAATGTTAAATTAACATTTTGTGAGATGGATCTGACATGCAAAGTGGCTGGTGTCGTCTTTCATAATCCTCTGTTTTAAAGGGAAGAAGATGTATTTTCTTAGGTAAACCAACTAGAACCCACTAAACATTTCCTTACAATCATAGTGCATGAAGGGATCTCCCAGATCATCTAGTCCACTAGTTTATTTTTATCCATTTTTTTTTAGCAGCAGACCTCTTTTTTTCAAAAACAACCTTTTTGTGGAAGTGTGATGTATAAAAAGATAGTAGCTGAGCATCTCTGGTTGAAGTGGACTTGGCAGACCTTGGCCCTTGCCCTCCCAGCCTCCTTCTTGCCCCTTGATTTTCCTTGTCTCTGAGGAAAATAGTATGAAAACCACAGGCCTATTCCAATCCTTTCATTTTACAGATGTGGAAACTGAGGAAACATGGCCCAGGCTGAGACTTTGATAAGGGCACAGCCAGAGCAGGATCCCATGTCTGCTGATTCCTGGTCTGTGATCTTTGCCTGCATCACATGGCATTGGTCATACTGATTTTGTTTTGCTGAGTTCCAGGATATCTTCAGTGCTTCCACCAGATACAGTTCTCACTGCCAGGAACACACCTGTGTGGCGAGACATAGATGTCTGCATCAGTTCATTAAGCAAGTCTCTTAAGTGCCCAGAATTCACAGGCAGATGTTCAGACATCAGGTCCCAAACCCTTAGGTTAAGGTTCTTTGCTTGGTGACATACTCCTCTGCTATAACTCAGTGTTTCTCCAACTTAATTGTGCCTTTAGAAGAACCTAGGGTGGTAGGAGCAGTGGCGGGGAGTGGGTGTTAAAAAATACAGATGGCAGAAATTCTGACTCAGCCGGTTCAGGGTATGACCTCAGGATCTGTATTTTAACAGGGATCCCAGGTGGCGCTGATGAAGTCGACCCCAGTCCACACTTTAAGATACGTGTACTTGGTTGTTCTTCGGCTTTCTGGCCTTCACTGGGTAACTAAAGTTTTCCCAAATTTCAGAAACTACAACATTTTCAACACGTTTTTCAATCTGACAAGAGCCTTATCCTCCCTCCCCGGATGCAGAGCATCAAATCCCAGGAGGTGTCTGGCTTCCAGTATGGCGATGTGGTGAATTTCACAGCAACTGGACATCAGCTCAGGTGGTCACACCAGGGAAGCAACGGGAGCAGAGGTAAAGAGCAAAGCTCTGTTTTCATGCAAATGGATTCCATAGAAAATTAAACAAGCTATAAAGGCATGCAAAAATGTATTGTGTATAACAGCAACACCAAAAAAGTCGGCTCTGAAGGGATGGCTCATCTAAATTTAAAAGTAGCATTAGCTTTCCAAGGTCCTGGGCTCCAATACTATGGGGGTCAATCCAAGGGGCTGAGAAGCCAGGCAGAGGTTAAGAATTCAGGGTAAAGATCAGCCCCTGCACTGGGAAATCCTTGTGCTGAGCTGTGCCAAAGCCAGATGTTTTTACTGGTAATTATTATCATGATAATTCACTTAACTAGGAATAAAATAGGGCATGATTGTTTACTTCTGCCTGTTTCCCCAGACATGCAGAGAAATGAGGAGAAAAATCTCAGAGGTTTCACTCTTGGCTAAATGAAATAATTTTCTCAATTAACCAGGAATAAACACAGCAACGAAATAACTTGCCTTTACATTATACAATAGTTGTAAATAGACTTCTTACACCTCCTTGCATGGGAAAGTCAAGGTGGAGACAGACTGCCAAGGAATTAAAAACATCTTGAGTTTGGTTTCCATCTGAAAAGACACAGTCCTTAGAAACCTACTCACGTTGTCAGCCTTGGCATGAGACTTCCAAAAGCTATTCTTGGTTTCTCTCCTCTGTACTGGGCCCAATCCAAGGCCAAGAGATTGCAGGTTGAATTGTGGTGAGATAAAAGATGCTTTTGAGCAGTTAGAAGGGAAGCTTGCAGAGACACAGGGGAGAGCAGAGTGCATATCTGAGAGGAGGTTAGACAGTTCGGCTGGGTTTTTAGGAGAATCCATAATATAAACTAGGAATTGATGGTGGTCCGTGAACATTCTCACAATCCTCAGTAAGGGAGTTACTTGACTGTCACTGCGTCAGGCCTCTGTGGTCCAGGGTGGGGGCACAGCAGCATGTGACACCCTCACACACATCCCAGAGGAAACACTATTTGTAACCGTCACATTTACATGAAATCACCCAGAGAGTATAGAATATAAGCCACATTGTAAAGCATAAGCTACAGCCATTTTCCTTCAGTAGCAGGGCAGAAACTAATTTTTGTCCCCCTTAAAAGGGATATTTTAAAAAAGAAACTATAAACATTTTTGTCCAAATAAAACCTCTTTTAATCACGCTAAATAAAAACCCTTTCTCCCACTCCTTGAAGCTCTTTGATGTCTTGTCTCATTCTCTGCTCCCACTGCCTCTCCTGTGGCCTCACCCGGAATTTCTAGAAGAGGCTGCACCGGAGACATGAGCATCTCCAGTTTAGGACAAGTGGCCATGCCCTTACATGTCAGGATGTTCGTGTTCAGGACCAAGGACAGTGGTCCAAGTGCCAACGCTGCCGAGGCTCCTAGTCCCCTTCCTCTCCCCACCCCCAACATCTTAGTCACCACGCTGGCCCCTGAGGGGAGGAATGTAGACCACGTGGATTTGATTAGAAACCAAAATAGGGCTGAAATGCCATCTAAGAAAAAGTGATTCCTCCACCCAAGCTCCATTTTTATCAGTCCACAAACACATCTAAGTTTGAGGATGGAACCTGCAAAATCCAAAAGCAGTGTTTATTCACTGCCTCCTCTGGTAAGTCTCCCCTGCTGGCTTACTTCTGAAGATAGTAGTTGCAGATTTGGGGGAGATGGTGACTGAGAACCTTTGAGCCCCAGAGCCACAGTGGCTGCTGCATGCTCCTTTGTCCTGATCCGCCCCTGGGCCAGCTCTGCCCTGCCACAGTGTGTCTCTGAGACCATCATGGCCTTTGTGAGAAGCTCCATCTAAGGCATTGGCCCAACAAACACCCCACTGGCTAAATATGCATCTATCTGTGTCTTGGAGCTAAAGGCTCAACTCTCAAGAAGCCATAAGTGGTGAGAAACATGCTTCTTTTTGCACCTTCTGGAGTAAGGTCAGAACACGTGCATCTTCTGGAATAACGTGCTTTTGCAAAATAGAACAGAAGGTGCCGAGGATACAACTGTCCTACAATTCTGTTAAATGCCTTTATTTATAGAGATGAAAGTTTGGGAGCAGGATTAACTGCTGCCAATATGAAGAAAGTAGAAACGAATTAAAAATAAACATTTTAGCATGCTATCAAAGGGCTGGGGCTCCTTTGAAGGTGCCCTTTGCAAACAGAAAGAGGTTATAGCCTGGAGGAATTATTCTTCTCCTGATTTGGTTACAGAGTCTCTCTCTCTCTCTCTCTCACACACACACACACACACACACACCACCCCTCCTATATATCTCAGTATGCTTAGAATACTGAGGTCAGAGGAGAAAGATTAAAAGGTGGCAGACCCCATCTAACCTCAGCTCGCTACATTCCTTTTCTCTATTTCAAGGGTGAAATGAAAGGTGAGGGAGTTCAAGTGAGTTCCTACATCAAACCTAACAAGGCATCAGGTGCCAAGGGTCATTTCCAGGTCTTGACAGGGTCAGACAAAGCCAATGGCAAATGGTCACTACCCAGTAGCTTGTTGGGGAGAGAAACTTACTTGGAGGGGCTAAGGGAAGGGGGACATAGTCATGGCAGCCCGGGGGACTACGCCGGCTGGCTGGGTACAGCCTTCCTTCCACCTGAACCCGTCCACAGTGACCCATTGCTCCTTGGAAATCCTCCCAGTGAATAATAGAGCATTTATTCTGCATTGCCCATTTATAATACACCCTCGCTACCCTCGTTACAATGATGAAACAAGCATGGAGATAAATAGGAAAGGGAACATCTGCATGCCAGGATCTTTTTATTATTATTTTAATAAAGAAGATACTCATTTGAATAACAAAGATAAAACATTTTTTACAAACAAAGCTGACATTGTATGGCTATTTTAATCATTGGTGATAAAAATTGACCCATTATTTGGTGTCACCACAAAAATTCTCCTCTGTGACACCGAATTGCTCTTAAACTCACTTCTCTGTATTCCCAGGCAACTTTATTCACTGCCCCCTTGGGTCTACTCTATTGGATAATTTGGTCTTTTGGATTGAGAAACAGTCAATTTCACTTTCCTCCCAAACGGAACACATTTTTCACACTTTTTTTATCCCTGACCCCCAACTCTTTCACAAATCTCACATCTCTCTGTCCCACTTTGGTTCTCCCTGCAAAGAAAAACTAGCTAAACAAGACATTACACAGCCTACTTGGGGGATGTGGTCTGTTTTTTGCTTTTTCCAAGACTTATTAACTTGGGCAGGACCTTAGGAAAAGGGGGAAGGGAGTGAGGCCAGGACTGAGGATGCTCTGAGCTGTGGTGGGTCTAGAAAGGGGACCTGGCATTTGGTGTGTTTAAATGTCTGCTATTTCCGCCTCTCAGAGGGTCTGTGTGCTCTGACCAATTCACCCAAGCTGAACAGAGTTATAGCAATACAACGCTTGCACCTAGGGTATCTTTCGCATGATAAGCAATCTTGCTATCAATTCCCCCCAAGTACCTGGTGCATAGCTTTAGTTGGCTCTCAAAATTGTGAAAAACTGTGGTCTTCTGGAAATGCTTATGTAGGTCTCCTGGCCTAATGGGTCTTAGTTACTCACATACAGGAGACCGATTTCCTCCCCTAGTAATGTCTCTCCAGCTCATTCCTTAAGAACTCATCTCCTAGGGATGCGCTGAATCAAAGCCCAACCATGGTTATGTTCCTTTCCAAGAGAAGAGGTCCCCCTGGGTCTCTGAGGCACAACGAGCAGGTATATTTTACAGAGGAGAGGCTCAGTTTCAGCTGGCTGGTTATTTTTGTCTCAGAGATGCAAAGCTGTTTTCACCTCCCAGAAGTGTTTTATATATGTATTTATGTATGCATGTATGTGTCCCAATCTGACCACTCACAAAAGCCATTTCCCCAAAGCCCCCAAATTCCCACATGTGCCTTCCCCTCTGCCCTTAGAGGCCTTCTCTCGGCCACGGGCCAGCTCCCTTCATGTGGAGTTGGTGATACATTGTCATCTGGGAGAAATGACTTTCAGCGGGGCCAGCTAAGCCCACAGAGGCTCTCCGTGGGGTGGAAGCTCCTCCCAGTCCAGAGGGAGTTATATAAAGACCTAAGGAAAATTTAAAATCCTGGATGGCAG